TGTGATTAAAAAAAAAATAAAAAATAAAAATATGCGCCGGTACAGACGAGTGCGAGAAAAACCGTCTCCGGCGAACGAACGAATCGGTAGCGAACGAACATTTGTTTTCCTTTCGCCGCTGTTTGACGGCCCGTTGGAAACACTTTCAGAAGGCTTCCTGGTCCGAGACCCGTGCAGTTACGGTCGATTATAACGGCAAGTGCGTTTGCGATTTACTTGCTGCGTTAAATATATACGTTTTAAAACATAATGTCAGACCCGTATTTCGTGCGTTGCTAAAACGATCCCGATTGTTGTCGATTCGAAGAGAATCGTTATTTCTGGAAGGTGGTGAAGAAAATTCAACAAGGAATCGCAGGAGATGGTTTGGGGACGGCACATGTTTCATAGAGTATTTAACGTTTTAACGGCTCGCATGTGAACAAATAACGGAAACTCCGTTACAGTGGTTACAAACTGGAAAAGGAGTTTGGGCGTAGTTTAATAGAAACCGGGAAGTTCAGCAGTGCGCGATTTTTGAAATACCGTCCGAAATTGGAGAAATAACGGTGAAAAATTGTGTGGAGTTTTACAGTAAAAAGGGAGAAGGAGAAAATTGTGCGGAATAGTGGATTTTGTTGTTCCGTGTTCGTATTATGGAAAACATGGTAATTGGTTGCAGGGTTATTAAATAGGGTTAATAAAATGTACCTAATGCATAACTACGTATATTTTAGCGCGTTAACTAATTTAATTTTGTACATACAATATGATTTATTGGGTCTTGAAGATGTGCAAGAAAAGCGGTACAAAAAAAAACATCGATTTTTCGCTTAAAAAAAAAAAGAGACTATTGCACTGTTTTATGTGTTATTTAGGTTCCCAGTATGTATATTTTTCCCGTCATTTCCCAGCAACTCCCTTTGGACCGAATGAGCTCGAACTCGGGAAATAGAGTTGTTCTATGGGCCATCCGAAGTGATAAAAGTTGTATTCAATAACAATATGAATATCAGAATGTTGTTGCGTGAGAGGAGTGCGTTTTAAGATTTGACCATCGCCACACAGACCCCTAAACGAAGCTAAAGCGAATACGCGTTGTATGTGCATTGCGTTGGTGTCGACGCTAGTGTGCCCGTTGGCGATTTCAACATTTCATACTCTCATCCCTAACGTTCGTTAAAAAATGCGCACAATTATTCTGCAAACTGACACAAATTCCGATAGTGACTACGAGTGACATAAACTTAATTCGCTAAACTGTCCTGCTCGTAGCTTTAAAAAAAAAAAAATCGTTGACAAAAAATTTGAAAATATCTACAATTAACAATGGTCTTAACGAATAATTGAAACCGTTTTGGTTTCTGGCTTTGTAGATACGATTGTTAATAACGGCACACGGTATCGTTATTCGAATAAAGAACATATTTAATATTTTGAGTTTAAGGTGAATTAAATTTATTATTATCATGACGCATATAAAAACTATATGCAAAACCGGACCAATAAACAAATATTTCGGGGGAAAAAACAGATATTTTTAAATATTTCAAATTTGAAAATTTCAAGGGAAATTATTATTACTTCGTACGGCAAATAACATCGTAAAATATCGATTATAAACTGATTCAAGCTAAATTAAACAAACCGCCGATTGCATCACGATCGTAGCCTAAAATGGTGTGTTCAGGCTTCTTAACCATTTGACGGTGTCAGTTAAAAGCCCTTCTTGTCCGTCGGGAACATCCTGTTACAGCACTCGTCCACAATGTGCTAAACTGTTTTGATGTAGGTTACCACAATCACATTTCGGGTCGTTTTTAGTTTTCCACTTGTGTAGCAAATACTTGCATCCACCGCGTCCGTCCCGATAAGGTTTAGGGTTTATCCGTCTTTCAAGTGAAATATTTCATACACATAACCGTGTGAGTACTACTGCAATATAAACGAATTTTCAAGTTTTTAATTACCGAAACGAAAAAAAAAAAAAAACGTATTTTCCGCATAAAACAGGTGCAACAATTACCGGGGATAACGATTGGAGTAGGGAAACAGGTAATCGCATCAATAAAGACGAACGGGCGTACCGTGCAATAATTAATAACTTAAAATCGGATCTGTATTCTTTAGAGCAGCGTTTCTCAAACTGTGGGTCGCGACCCGCTGACGAGTCCCTAGTTAATTTTCGGTGGACCGTGAAAATTGGTTTGAATTGTATAGACTCCAAGAAATGTATGTTTTTATGCTCTGAGCGGGGCAAAGAATGTATTTACAACGAATTTTTTATTATTATTATTATTATTATTTGTTCTATCCGCGAACAACTTTTCTACCGGCCATTTCACTCCGATTTTCGAATGTAGCACTTTTTCTCAACGGAAATCTGATTGGGGTTGTGCTTTACCGAGGCGCGTTTTTCGATTTTCCCGGCTGTTTTCCTTAAACTGCTTTTTGAAAAGTGAAACCACGCGGGTCGCGATAGATTTTCGGGGGGAAACTTGAGGGATCGGAAGCTACGAGCGGGACGGAAACGATCCCGAAACTGCGGGAAGTCAGAGAGCGCTGGACGCAGTGGCTGCTAATACCCTTACACAGTTATGATGATGACGACGACGACGACGATCCGCATTTATCGACAAATGGTTATTTATCATAATGCGTGTATAAATTGCACCGTAATGGTTAGCGCTTTTGCGCGGATTTCGGCGGACAACCGAACTGCCGACGGTAAATCTCGCATGACGTGTATGCGTATGCAAATATGGTAACGGTGCCGCAGCCCGGGCAAACGACTGAAACCCGCGATGGGAAAACGAATGTCGCGCGATCGTTTACCGCGTTGATTTTCCGACATCACGACGACCGCTATACCTACACGAGCGGGCAAAACTCGAGACAATAAAACAAAAAAAAAACAAAAAAACAAAACAATAATAACAATAACAACGGTTAGGTACGGTGTACACGACGAGTCGGTTGTGTCGTACCGTCGTCGTCGTCGCCGCAACTGCGGCGCGCACAATAAACAAATACGGACGAGCGAGCGTTATTAAAAAAGAAAAAAGAAAAAAAAAAAACGTATTATTTTTGTATTGAGACGTCAAAACGGCGTCGTCGGACTCGAGTGGAACCGGCGACGGCGGCGCGGACGAGGAGAAGACAAGAGCGCGAGCGCGAGCGCGCGCGCGCACGCTGCTCTCCGAGAGGAGTTCGCGATAATTAATCTCGGGCCGGAGACGGAGCGCGTCAAAAAACTTCCCACACCGACTTACCGAAAACGGTGATATAATAATATGGTTATTTTTTTTATTTTTTTTTTTATTTTTTTTCTATCGTCTACGTACGAGTTATTATATAGGTGTACGACTACACGAGCACTCGACCTGACCGTTCGACCGCTATGTACTGTACTGCATGCGCATACACACATACACACATACACACACACACACGCAAACAAAAACTCTGTAAGTATATACGCACTCGAGACGATTGTAGCCCGCGTTTGTCTCGTTTTGTTTTCTCTCGCGTCTTTTTTGTCCGATTCGTTCCCCCCCCCGCCTCCCCCGCGTTTCGTCCGCGTATATTATAACAGTCCAGCGTCTCCGACGGCTGTATTATTATCATTATTATAATTATTACCACCGCGTAATCCTTTTACCCTTTATTATTATTTTTTTTTTTTTTTTTTTTTTTATCTGTGTTTCGGCCCGAAAAGACGGTCTCGTTGTTCGCTATACCACCGGGATCGTCGTCGGTCCGATAGGGTACCCGGCCACGGTGCGTACTCGCATATGGAGGCCGCGGGGACACGGGAGTCACCTATAGACTCGAATGCGATTCCGGCATCACTCGCGCGGCTAAATAAATATAGCGCAGTTACAGACAAACGCACAAGAACTATTTCCGGAAGCCCGATAACGATACGCCCAAACCACTTTTGTGCACATTTGCAACTTTTTCAGGACTCCTGAAGTTATAACTGCTATAAAAACTTACTGTCCTACCACATCCTCCGAGCCAGTGACTGCCCGTCGACGTATTAAGTGTTTATACACTATAAATACGGGACACAATTCACGCGGGGCCGGTTCGGAGGCGGTGCGCTGGCACAGAGCCAACCGAAAATCATAATTTCCTCATAATTACTCAGGGAACTATAAATTAAAAGTTATGGACAGAGAAGAATTGTATTGTAAAGATTCACCAACCACTTAGTATTAGATGGGCGAAATGCCCTCCCGCCACCAAAAAAAAAAAAAAACAAATGTCATCAGCAAACAAAGACCCGGCAAAATTGACAGCACTAGACCTCGATGTTTTCCAAGTCGGGTCTGATTTCGGGTACCATTCTCGTTTTATGTAATGAAAAATAAAAAATAATGCTCTCAATAAAAATCGTATTCTTTAAAGATGAAACAGTAATATGGAACAAAATTTATTCGTATATGATTATATTAAGTATCATTGTACGCACTTAAACGCATAAAAACTTGAATGCGTTCTTCGCGAGAGAAACTAAATCATTCGTAAATTTAAAATCTTTACTGGAAAAAAATCATGATATTGTAATAAAAAAATTAACGTTTCAAGGCACTTTTTTTAGTTTTCTTTAAATTTTTACCAATCATTTTTTTTTTTTATTGTTTTAAAAAGGACCTTTAGTTTTTTAAATCAGACTCCGGTAACGAAAACTGCAATAAAATATACTCACCAATACTCATACATGTTTATGCATTTCAATCGTTACTATAGAAACTCGATACTCGGTACATTGAAATTAAAATATTCGTTGAAATTTTGACGCACGCAGTATCTTAAATGATAACCGTCCAACAAATTTGATACATTTCTCGAAATTCCCCTACAACTCCGCCCCGCGCCCGTACAATCGCGTTGAATTAAAAAATGTGTTTCCAAGAATATACCGGGGAGTTGGAATGCACCGGCGTGTGTCCGGTTCGGGCGTGTATGGACAAGACACATTAAAATCGGCATCTGGATATGCTCGATATCAGCTACATTGATTCCCAGTATCGCAATACAAGATGCTCAATACTTTCCAGACTCGTGTTATGATACAAGACACGTATTTAAGAGGCTTTCACCACTTGAATCTAAAAATTCTCCGATTTCAAAGTTTTAGCGTTGGTCACAATACGCGTTTCAAAAACATATGCGATTTCCACATCTGTTGTTAACGCAACTGTAGTATCACAATGTTACTGTATTCAGCAGTGATAAAAACTATCGTTTTTTTTTTTTTTTTTTTTTTTTTTTATCGAGACAAAAAGTTGTCGATTATTTATCTTTATCAAGGTGATTGAATTGTAATGTGTCGTTCATCTCTTTCCGGATAATTATTATTCCAGCAATATCTGTATTCTTATTTTAACACGTATCGCTTTATACACCGCGCGGTAAACACGTAGGTATCAGGTGCGTCGTAAATTTAGCCGGGAAAAAAAAAACGTACGCCGAAAATTCCGAACACAATATCATATTGGACCGCGTTGAACCGCATTGTGTACCGACAAAGTCCGTTCGACGTTTTCACTATGATGAATTTTCACGGTTGAAAAGTATGAAAACGCGCGTAAATATTCTTTCAAAAAAAACGTATGCATTAATATTACGCACGTAGTGTAATAACCAATGATAGTAATGTGATTATTGTGTACGTTGCGTAAAAAAAAAATTTTTAAAAAAAACTACTACGATATTACCGCGGGCATTGAAAAACAACAAACGTGCGTGTTTTTAAACTTTTTTTTTTTTTTTGGTAGAACGTATTTGCAAACTTTTTTTGCAAAAACAATCTCGAAAATATCGTGGCACGTAAACAAACCAAAAAAAAAAAAGAAAAAAAAAAGAATATATACAAACAAAACCTAACAACGCGTACACACGCCGTGTATACGTTACATTAACGGAGGAAAAATTACAAATGTGATTTTAGTTTCGTTTTTGTTTTTTTTTTTGCTTTCCAAGCGCTCGCGACGTTTTTCTTTTCCCATTTGATACTTAGTCGTGCCATTTTTCAGTTTATTATTAGCCCGCCGCGTGCACTCGCGCCGGCCGGCCGGCCGAACGTTCTCGAAACGCTGAAAATCTTTCCGGCCCGCGCGCTTTATCGGATCGGAAAAGACTTCCGCGAACGACTGCGGGCAGTGGGGTCGGAATTCCGTCAAATTTCCGGTCACCGTTAGTAATTTATCGGTTTTACAACCGTATTTTTTTTTTAGCGACGAGCGTATTTGGATTAACAACGAAAACGGCTGAACGGATTAGTACAAAACCATGCTCGCAACGAACAATTCGTGTCCGGTCGGAACCTACGAGTCGCGTTAAAACCTATATGAAATGATATCGATGTCGTCGGATATTTCCGCAGCGGATAAAATAATATGCGAACGGTCCCGAAATTCAGCCGCGGCTCGCCGGACGAGGCTCGAGCCAGACGCCGTCCCATTTACAATTCACTATATTACATTAAATAAACGTAGTTTTTTGTTTTTTTTTTTTTTTTTCTTTTAAGCATATTTATATAAATGACGTTTTTCAAAACCTCGAAATTAATTCCGTTCAAATCGATATCGATCGGTTTCGGAAAAACATTCGTGGAAACCGAGTGTTTTCGAATGTTCTGAATGAATTGCCGATAACAACCGCCGACAGAATAAATCGCCGAATCAACTGCGCAACTATAACGGTTATAGCGCTCCCGGCACTCGTTTTTCGAACATCCGTCATTCTGGACCGTATCGCGGCGTTTCGAAATCGCCGGAATGTAACGTTTATCGTTTATTAACACAACGGCCCGTCTGTTGTCGTCCGAATGTACCGACGACAGCTGTTCCGTAAGTTCGTTTTGTAATTTTACCGCGTCGAACGCGGAAAAACGGCTCCGGACCACCGCTGACAACGAATAAACGAATTAGACGCGAACGTAATGACAACGCGGACGGACAATAACGCGTGTTCTTCAAGGTTATGTTACAAAAAACACGATTGTGTTTAACGGCGAACAAAAACCTTCGAATGACTCCGAGTCTTGTCCGTTCGTCCGCGCGATTTCCCGACGCCGGCTACGACAGCGTACGGGGACAAACTCGGCACATTCTGAATCGGGACGTGTCCCGTAGTTGACCACGATGGCGAGGAGCCGTTTTCTACGATTCGATCGTTTTCGCTTTCGAAAGACGACCGCGACGCGCGTCACGTCGGATGATACGGCGGCGCAGGGTCCGTATTATCGTCGGTTTCCTCGTTCGAACGATAGTGTACGACGCGTAGGGAAATTAATCGAATTAAAAAAAAAAAAAATCTTTTTTTCAGTTTTTTTTTTTTTTCTAAAAATACGTAAACAATCATAGATAATATCATTGTCAACAACGCGCATCGTCTTATAAATATTTTTTTTTTATTAATGTAAAACCTTAAAAACGCTATAAAATTATACATTTTAGTAATCAAAATCACGCGAAATTTCACCACGCCGATAACGTTCGAAATGTTTTCAAACGGCCCGCGTTATCCGGACATTTTTTTTTTTTTGCTTTCGGTTCCTCGGACTATTTCCCCAGCAGTACTTTTTACCGCGTATACGTAGTCGGGCGTTAAACGCCAGTTTTGTTTTTTTTTTTCTCCTAACGGGTAAGAGAAGAGGCACGTTCGGAGGTGTGTCGGCTCTATAAATTCAAAGCGTTCCGACAGAAGAATATAATATATTATATATATTACTATTTGTTCCGCGTGTTTATGCAGTGTTTTTTTTTTTCGCGCCATGTCTTCGGGTGGAAAAAAAAAAAAGAAAGAATAATGCGAGCGTATAGTAGTAAACAACGCGCGCGTGCATATAATATACGCCATCGATTTTCAATCGAAACTCCATTCGGTGAGGCCCTTTTTCTCCGCGTGCTGTAGTCGTAATAAAAAGACGAGGAAAAAAAAAACAAGGGGAGAAAATACATAATTTTAAAACCAATAAATTCCTCGCGTTTCTCGCGAAGAGTCTAGGAGGAAGAAAAAACACGGTTCACTGTTCGAAACACGGTGTTTATAATATACATCGGTGAAATCGATTTTCGATTTTTTTTTTTTTTTCCTATTTTCTTACTCCGTCGTCGTCATCGTCGTCGTCGTCGTGAAAATACTATACGCACAATACAGATTAGTTTTCCCGGACGAAACGCGCGCATTAGCATTGTTTATGCTGCACGTGCGTATAGGTATCCGAGCGGTTCGCGGATTCGACAGTGTCGCGCTCGGTAAAATGATAGTTCAGAGGGTAGGAGGCCAGGATGGTACCGTAAAATGTCGAAAATTATAAAAAAAAAATTTCGATAGCGATTTTAAAAACTGAAAACCACTCACATTGTCGAGAGACAAATTATAATTTATACTCCTGGGTACTTATTCAAATAAGCGTGTAGATTGTAAAATATAATATTTTTTATTTTTAAAAAAAAAAAAATGTTTAAATTAAATTAACGAGATTCAAATTGGTCTTGTTTTTGTTATTAAGTTAATTTACTGTAATCGGATAATTTATTTATTAACGAATTGGGCCCGATTTTTTTATACCACTTATTAATTAATTTGGTTAAATTTTCAAGTATTTTCGTTAAAACCCGAAAATGGCAATCGCCTATAAATAATTAAAAAGTCGCCATTAAAAATAAAAACGAAATTGAAAATAAAGAAACCGTTATTGTCGAAAACCTTCCCGTTTCTCCGACGCGTTTTTTTCGGCGTTTCCCAAACACTAAGATTACGACAAAGAAAATCAAAAACTGATTTTCTCACTCGCCGGATAACGTTCGTTGCTTTGGAAAATTGCGAACAAGCTAATCGCGTATTTATTGCTGCGAGATTCGAGAAAACGAAACGGTTAACGGCCGTAGTGAGTTTGTCAGTTTTCCGTGCGCGTGTTGTCCCCGGTTTCCTAACCGCGAACGAAAACCGCGCGGAAAATCGCAATACGAACGACGTCGCCGCCGGTGCGCCGACCGGATTTTCGGAGAGCGGCGATCGCTCACAGATGGATATCGAAAGCTAACGAAAAACGCGGGAAACCGGCCGACGTTCGGGGCCACGGCCAACCGGTCAGCACACCCGACACTTGACCGGACCCCCGTGCGTTGGCGTTTCGACTGTCGTTCGCGTCCGCGGCCCCGGTTGTCGCGCGCCGATTTCCCCGCAACAAAGGAGTACGCGTGAGGCTCGGTCCACGCGGACACCGTTAAACGCGCGTTTGAACATTGCAGGGATTTGCAGATTTGACGCGTTCAGTCGCGACGCGTACTCCGAGGCGATCGGTCCCTTGCGATTTTCAACAGGAAGCGGAAACGGATTCTATTGTTATTGTCATTATTATTGCCGTACCGTCGCCTTAAACCGCCACAACGCGCGTCCCGAAAACCGATTGAAACCGAAAACTGTTTTTTGACGCGCGTAACGCGTTCGGTAAAACACGCGTTTCCGAACGTTTTTTTTTTTTTTTTCTTCGGTTTTTCGGTCGTGCGATACGACTCGCGGCAACACGCTGTGAATCGCGAAAACCGTACGACCGGTCTCCGACGATTGACGAGAAACGAAAAACAAACGGCAGGAGTCGCGTCGAAACGCCGTCGAAATATTAAAATGTGCGTCGTGTCAAAATATCAGCAAATTATATCGCCGTGGAATCGGCTATGATGTATTTTTTGAACACAAACGCACGTTTTTCCCGGCGTTTGCCAGTTATTGTGACAACCGCTCGGAAAATCAATAAACGGCCTCCTTAAAGTACCGTGCAGATAGAATTTTCTTTCGGAAACCGGAGCGTGGATTTCCGGTGGAAAAGTTGTTCGCGGACGAAAAAGCATAAAAAAATAATAAACATTATTCGTAAGATCAATGCGCTCCGCATTTAAAACGCACGTGGACTGTAAAGGTGCAGTTGTAGGTGTTATTCATGGGAAAACAAGGGGTTTCTGATTACTCGTTATTTGTAATTGGAGTGAATCGGGAGTCGACAGAATAATTGTAGTCGTTAAAAAAACGAGCGGGCCAACCCCCGTTCCTCACCGACGCCCCTGTCTACAAAGCAACACTATAATCTTATATATATATATATACGTATACGATCAGTTGTTCTAAAACTTTCGTTAATACGAGCGTGTCTAGAAGTATTGACAGTTTGTAAAATGTGGTCGGAAAACGAAAATACGATCGCGGATATTATTATACGTTATACCCGAGTAGTATTGTTTTTGCAGTGGTTTTTCGACGTTTAAAAGACACGTCTACCCAAAGTTCGAATTTCGTACATTTTACGGTTATTCGA